TTATGCGGTGGAGATCGATGTTTCGTCATCCGGAGCCTATCGAGGCGATCCCACATTCACCTTCTCGCCGCTTTCAAGGAAATTTCGGAATGGAACCGACGACGGAATATGGAGCTGGAGATGAGATGGTAGAGTTATAATAGCGAGAAATTCCGGTACTGGTTTATGTGGAGGATACGCTGTATCATTTTAAGCCAAAAAAACTTGTATAATCTATAAAAATATAAACTACAGCTTCCTTATGATATTTGTAATAGAAAACTCATACGAAAAAGTTCTATCTTCGCGGTTTTTTTTGTAAATTAAAGTTCATTTATTCAACAAAAATGAAGGCCGACCCTGTGTTACTTATTAAAAACTTTGGAAATGTTCTTATGCGACCCGAGATGCAACCTTATAATTTAAGTCGGTATAATCTAACACTAGTAACACTAAAAGAAGGTTAGGTTACATTGTCAAAAAATTTGTGCAGTCAACTGATTTTGTATTTGTATTGAATTCATNCTCAAAGACAAAGGTAGCTCCGTATAAATATGACCCGCATTCAAAATACACCCTGTATATATGCATTATCTGTGTTGATGAGAGTAAGTGGTTAGAAATGATACGAAACGCTTCGATATCCTGAGTTTCGACTTTATTTGGTCTGACCCCAGTCCGACGAAAGCCAATGCGCGCTTTGGCCGTAATCCAAAGAATCGGGAGATTTTGATGTGTGACATTGGGGGCCCGCTTTGTGCCCCGGAGTCCGGCAATAAATGTCGTGGCCTGGATGAAAAGTTTCTCCGTAGCCGGCAAGTTTTACAAGTTATGCGGTGGAGATCGATGTTTCGTCATCCGGAGCCTATCGAGGCGAACCCACATTCACCTTCTCGCCGCTTTCAAGGAAATTTCGGAATGGAACCGACGACGGAATATGGAGCTGGAGATGAGATGGTAGAGTTATAATAGCGAGAAATTCCGGTACTGGTTTATGTGGAGGATACGCTGTATCATTTTAAGCCAAAAAAACTTGTATAATCTATAAAAATATAAACTACAGCTTCCTTATGATATTTGTAATAGAAAACTCATACGAAAAAGTTCTATCTTCGCGGTTTTTTTTGTAAATTAAAGTTCATTTATTCAACAAAAATGAAGGCCGACCCTGTGTTACTTATTAAAAACTTTGGAAATGTTCTTATGCGACCCGAGATGCAACCTTATAATTTAAGTCGGTATAATCTAACACCAGTAAAACTAAAAAAAGGTTAGGTTACATTGTCAAAAAATTTGTGCAGTCAACTGATTTTGTATTTGTATTGAATTCATTATTCACTTAATTATTAAATATTAAGCATCGTCAGTCGACCCATCAGTGTTAAAAAGTGAAAGATTCCAGACAAAACTTTTTATTTTGTAGTTCCATGGTAGTGACTAGTGACAGTAATTTTTATAAAGATGTACAAAATAAGAATAGCTTGCCGATTACATTAAAAACGAGATTCTTATTTCTTACTTTGCTTAATTTTTTAGTTTGTGTACAAACTAGTTTTACAATGAACCGAGAACACAATGCATTTACTAATTTCCGAACGTATCGATATGGTGTTAGTGTATGGTGCAGCCGGAGAAAATGCGCTCGCGGCCACTAGAGGTCTGTTCTAACAAGAGTCAGGGATTGGTTCCGAACCGTTCGAAATGTTTGGCTAGCTAAGTTCTAAATGTGTCTTCAGTGAATATATCGCAAGAATTAGTTGGATGCACATTTCTGACGGTTCGGAACCAATCCCTGACTCTTGTTGGAACAGATCTTAGGTTGTACCGGAAACGATGGCTACAACGTCACCCCCCATGTGAAAATATATACAATCATACAGTGCCTTCAGTGGCTGCGTGATACGGGAAGTGTTATACCTCGAGGAGGACGTGATCAGCAAGTGAACCTTAATGTTGAAGATATAGTGTTGGGGGAACCTCATCTCGTACCGTATATCGCATCATAACAATAAACAGCTGTGATTACTAATAAATAACTGTCTATTAGGTCGAGATAATATTGACAAAGATAGTCAATTAATTCTAATTTGGTTGCGACAGAGGAAGAGGAAAAGTAAGTTATCTTCAGATTTCTTTGTAACTCACATTTCCACCCCCGATCAAGTCACTTTGATGGTAGAAATGTGTTATATCTTCTTCAATTTTTCTTAAGGTCAGTTTGTCTTCTCCGTATCAAAGGTCGTTGCAGCAAAAATAGGGGGCTAACTTTGTAAGTCGCTTCTGTCCCACTCCTGAGCGAACAAGTCACTTCCACTGATGGTAGAAATGTGTTAGTACACCTTGTTTGACTATTCCTGCAGATATTTGTCTTACTCCTGCGGAGAATCGGTTTAAGAATTATTATTTCATGTCTAATTTTTTTATTTTACCTATTTAAAATAATTATATACTGTGTTTTTAGCGGAAGTAGTTATATTTGTTTAATTATGATACATTCAACTATTTTTAAGAAATAGAGGCTTACATGTGGGGATGCATTTTTAAAATTTTATAGCGTTAGTCATATAGACTTTGGAATATCAGATAATTTGTAACGAGCGTTCAAATAAAAACGTGGTCAAGTTGGTTCTGAAAATTTGGACGTAGGGCGTAGCGTATAGCAAATGAACTTAAACGTCATGTGTCAAAGCACTATATCGCCGCTATCAATTTGAATATTTTCGTTTTAAAAAGCGTTTAAAATGGTGTTTTCTCAAGAACAAAAAGTGTTTATCATAGAGTCCTACTTTAGAAATGGACGCAAGATTGATGGAATATGGAAGTATTCTATTGAGGAATGTTTCATAGAATTTCAAAATCAATTTCCCGGCGTTGTTGAGTACAAAATTTTTCAAAGTGCAGTTAACGTTGTGTTAATGTTTTTCGTGAAACGGGCAGTGTAACAAGAAAAGAAGGAAGCGGCCGACCTAAAAAGCGGACTGAAGAATTAAAAGAAAATGTCCAACAAATAATGGAAAATGCACCAAGAACTTCTGTACTTACGTGTTTTATCACAAACGGTGGGTGTATCAGTCGGTACCTGCCACACAGTGTTAGAAAAAGATTTGCGTTTGTTCTCCTATCGTTTAACTTGTCAGCAAGAACTTCATGAAGTTGATTTTCCGCGACGGGCTGTATTTTGTGAATGGTTTTTAAACAACTACGGTGAACTTCATAATATCACCTTTTTTTCTGATGAAGCCTGGTTTCATTTAAGTGGTTACGTAAACTCACAGAATATGAGAATGTGGTCTTCTGAAAAACCAGATAACTTTTTTGTCGAGGGCCCTCTACACGCTCAAAAAATTGGAGTTTGGTGTGCTCTCAATCGAAGGAAGATTTATGGACCTATTTTTTTTAATGGTACTCTTACTGCGCAAAGGTATAGAGAAGAAATTATCGCTCCTTTTGTTAACCAGCTGGAAGAAAACGAAATTACAAACTTTTACTTTCAACAAGATGGCGCAAGGGCACATACGGCAGGCGAGACGATGAATATGTTGAGGGAAGTTTTTCAAAATCGACTAATAAGTCTCACATGAATTTCCACCGAGGTCATGTGATATTACGCCGTGTGATTTCTTTTTGTGGCCTTACCTTAAAAACACTATATTTTAACTGCCTATTCCTGATTTAAACCATCTGCAGGCTCGACTTATAGACAAGATTCGTGAAATTAACAATACCCCGAGCATCTTAGAAAATGTCTTTAATTCATTGAGGAACAGGTGTGAAAAGTGCTTGGAACAAGGAGGGGGACACTTTCCGCAGCTCCTTTAATTGTTTGATATTGTTATCACGATTATTCTTTAAAATGAAGTTATATAGTCATTAACGTTATTGAAACTGACAGCTGCTATACATCTCGTTGAGAAATGAGGTTAAGTTGGTCGCTATAAGCTACACCCTACGTCCAATGTGTCAGAGCCAACTTCGACCACGTTTTTATTTGAACGCTCGTTATAAAATAAGTGCTTTCTTATTGAACAAGTAAAGTAACATTATATTATAAATACAACATAATACAAGAAATATTCAGGGTGTTGGGAAACAAATGCGTCATATACAGGTAGTTTTCTCGAATAATAATAATCGATTTAAATCAAATTTCCTTAGTACAGTTGCTTTGCTTAAACGCTTACGGAGATTCTAATACTCATGTTATTTTAACTTTCTTAAGATAACTCCATCACTTTAAGACATTTTGATAAATTTTGGTATAGGAGTCAAAGATAATAAACATACCTTGGGACATGATTTTTTTTTAGTGTGTTAGTAACAATTTTGAAGATACCCATTTAATTAAATAGTCACCAAATTTATCGTAAAAATGTGTACTTGTATCGTTTTTAAAAAAATTAGTTTAAATTTTCTACTGTCGTTGTCAATTACGAACAGCTGACTTTTGGAAAATATTCTTGCCTAATTAAATTGAATCTTTTTGCTAAATTTGTAGCTATATTAAATATTCAAATGTCAACTCCTAATGAAATATAGCCTTTTGAATGTAGCTCCACCAAACAACATTAAATATTAATATTTCACCCTATAGGAATTGACTTTAGAAGTGAATTTTGATTTAAATCGTAAGGATCGTAAACAAGGGTAAAAATTTAGCAAAACGTAAAATTTAAATTCAACTGTAACATCGACAAATGTTCTGTCTTCCGTAATTGATAATTGTAGAAGAAAATTGAAATGTTTTTTCTCTGGTAACAAAGTAAGTATAACTTTTTTATAACAAATAACAAAGTATCTACCAACCAAAAATATGGCAAAGAAAGAAAGTATTGTTAGCCTCTACTGTGCTTTTTTTCCTCCAAGGAAACTACCCTCGAATGACCTATACGTTTCCGGACATGTACTAGTAAACGTAGGGGTTATAAAGTTTATTATTTAAATCAAACTCAATCAAGCGCTTCGCTTTAGACGAGGGTCTTGCAAATTCGATTAAACAAACTGTCCATTTTTCGATATTCCGTTTATGTATGTATTCCGCAATATCGATTAGCAGCCCTTGTCCCCACCATTAACAAATCCCCAATGTTGTCCATCAGGTCCACCACGAACAGAGCCAACGTGTCGTCTTTGCAGTAAGGATCGGGTAGAGCGACTTCGTTCCAAAAAATTTTCTGTCTGCCTTTCACCAAAGTGCTGGGCATGTTGCATTTGTCCGCTACCGCTTTGAAAAGCAGCGCTCGTTCGCAGTGGAAGCCAATCCTCAGGTATCCAATGGGTATTAAGTTGGTACCTAGTTTATATCTCAACGCTTTTCTGTGTTGTTTGAAAATGTTCATTTTCTCCTCTTTGGTACAGCCTTTTTTTGGTCCGCACAGTAAGGAATCGACGAAATCCGCGAGGAGTTTGAATTTCTGCTTTATGGAATTAACCTCCTCGAAGTACTTACCGATGTGATAGATATACCTCGGTAGATAAATGTCTGATGAGAGTCTTCCGTAGTTAATTTGACAGGTGTCCGTAAACACTTTGGATATGGTCGTCACCAAGCTCCAGTCGGACGTTGAGGATCCACCCAACAATTCAGTGGTTACTGAATGTGCGTCTAAATTATTTATAACTTCAAACGTGTAGTCCACGACGTAAATTGTGTAGAATGTGGATACCTGAGTGGCTTCCAAAATTTCCAAAAAAGGAAAAGGACCCTTCCACTGTCCATCAATCAAGTAGAATTTGTTTGGAATTTTGTCTGTAATATCTAACCTGCGATTTTCGAAGAACTTCATGGGAAGGTGAAAATTATACATGTGTTTGAGAATATATTTGGCGAAAGGAAGCTTTGCGTAGACAGGAGTTTCTCTTAAGACTCGAACTAGGTTATTGTGTAGGAAGCTGTTCACCATTGTCTCGTGTATAAGACAACTGTGAATGAAGAGGAAAACGTTTCTCAGCAAATGCACGTTTTTCGAGGTCTGTACGGCCCCCACAAAAATTTGTGTGCCGTTCGCTGACATAAAGTGATGTCTGAAGTTAGCCCAACCAATGAAATTGATCAGTATTTCGCTTACAAACGCAGCGATCTTAGCAGTCGACGTCTGAAATAGATGCAATAGTTTTCCAACGAAATGTACGTCTATTATCTCTTGTTGATATAAAGGATGCACAGCCATTTTGTACAATATTTCGAGTATCGCCAAGATGCTTTCTTCTTTTGTGGCGATACCTCTCCTAAAGTAATTTAGAAGCACCTTATGACCTCCATATGCGTGTAGCATGCCTATGGTCTTTAGGTTCCTTCTGCTGAAGTCTAGAAGTGTTTTCATTGCTACTTCGTTACCAGGATCTTCTTCGTCCTTTCGAAGCAGCATCACACACAACTCCTTCAAGACAATAGGGGTGAGCATTCTCTCGACGCAATATCTATGCGTGGACATATTGGACATGGCTTCGCAGGTCTTGTTCAATATATGTTTCTCCGTACTTCTCAGACAGTACATGATTGATTCTTCCACAGACAAATCGAACAGGATTTGCCTTCTAGAGGGCAATCTGGTTAACTGCTCCAATATCACGATGCTCGGATACAGATAGTCGACATTGCAGGACTTGACCCAATGGCAGAACTTTAAGAACTCTACCGTTTCTATGAAGTAGTTGGAAGTTTCTTCGGATTTCATACAGTCACATATTATATCGAAAGCGATTTCGTGAAATACTTGTTTTTCGGGGTTCATCACCACCTCCAACATGTTCTCAATCAGTTTGGCTTCCCTAAACATTTTTTGGAACACGTCCAAGGAGTAGTCGGTCAGTTTGTGGATTACCTCATATGATAAAAAAGCTATTTTCTTTTCAGAGTTCTCCAAATGCATTAGTAAAATGGAAATATCGAAATTATACATCTCGGGTAGAATTCCTAGGGCGGCCGGAGCATTCAAAAGCTTCAAGAACAATTCTACAGTCCCTTCAAGTAACAGCACATCCTTTGTTTTTTGAATGGTATCAAGTATGGGGTTGATCAAGTCTATTTTAAATATAAGACAGACAATTCTGCCGGATTCCGCTAGTTTGGATAGAATCGAGACGCAGAATTGTCTGACCAAAGGATCGGTGTGCGATATATACATGTTAGATATTTTCAAAATTTTATCGTCGTGTATATCTTGGTCCATGTCCGCCATGATATCATCAACAGTAAGTAGAATTCCCAGAAGTCTCAGGACTAACCTCAGTATGCATATGTTTCTATTAAAGAGATTTAGCAACTTTTGCAATAAGGTGCGCTGTTGGAGAAAATTTAAATCTTTCATCTGGGTATCCACATACTTTGACAAATGTAGTAAAGCTTCTAAAACTATATCATCCTCCACGCTCTCCAGTATAGCGATGGAGGAGTCAACCGCCTTGACTACGTAAGGCTTTTCCTTGATATCGCTCTTCTGCGTGGTGTCCAGTTTGGCCGTTTTGCTTTTACCTTTCTTTCCCAATTTGGTTAAAGGCTGCTGTGCCATGTTTTACTATTGCTTATTTTACTCGGTGACACTATGAAATCTGGGTGACATCTAATACGTCAACTCGTCATAACTAATGAGATGGAAATGGCTTTTTAATACTTCTTTGAAAACACCTTATAGACTAGGATGTATCTGTTTTGGTTTGGGTGAATCGTATATCCACGGATATTTTTGGCTTTTTGGCTTTCAAATATCAATAGAAATGAAAATTTTTCTATGCGCATAAAAAAAACGTGGGCTTAACTTTTGGCGGCACAATACGTTAAAAAAAATCGAAACATGTCATATTTTTCTTCCTATTTAATTATATATCTTTTCAATAGTTGATTTTAGGCGAAAATGGAAGAGGAAAAAAATGTTTGTAATTAATTTTTTTTACAAAATATGACTAGTTACAAATCGAATGAATCATGATTATTATTGTAAAAATCGAAAAAATCGCCAAAAATGGGGTTAAAAAACATTACTTTTTAGGGAATTTTTTGGGGGTCTTTAAATTTAAATACCCAATTGGGTAGACTTGGCTCAAGAAAAGTTCATGTTATGTAGAATCATCACACCAAATTTCATTTTGCAATACAGATTTTGAAAAAAAATTTGGAAATTTTCAAAATTTTGCACAGCAAAAACCAAGGCCCTTAGATACTTGAAAATTTAATCCCATATAGAAGGTCTCTCAAGCTTTCAAACGATTTTTGAAAATTTCGAATCAATTAGGAGAAATCTGGCGCTAGTTTAAACATTGGTCAAGTTTTTGTACTTATAAGCAATTAGAATAACTTTGTGAATATTCAATCAAATCAAATTTTTGAAAGCAGGTTTTAAAAGTTATTCGCTTCTTTAAAAAAAAATAGATCGATTGGTCAATTAGTTACGTAGTTATAGCCTATCAAAGTTAATCGTCATTTACTTTAAATGTACAGGGACATCCGGGCTAATTTTTCGAAAAATACCTTTGGTATTCCGAGTTATTACCAGGTTATTATTATGCAAACGAGAAATTTAAGAAAATTGTACCGGTGGTGGTGTTGAGGGAAGCAGAGAGCGCGGCCACTTCGGCCTGCTCAAAATTGAATTCAAAAATTTTTAATATCTCAGTTTCTAGAGGTCCGATTTTGATGATTTTTTTAAATCGATGTCTCGCGATTTAAAAAAAAAAACAATTAGCGTATTTTCTACCTATCTGGCCTATCTTCTAGCCTATCGTTAATAATTATTGGTCTTTCAAGAGTCCGATAATTATTTATCTTTAAACTTCCTTTAATTATCAACTTTTTTTATTGAATCAAAGGTAAGTGCATAAACATATACTGTTTATCAAAGATCAAAAATAAATTTATTTAAATATTCTAAAATTGTTTAAACAACAATTATTTTCAAAATATGTCGAAAATTAGTAATTAATTAATTAATTATCTAATTAATTATTAATTTAATTATCATTTCTTTTGTGATTAAATTATAATTCAATATTATTTATTTTTTAAAATATAAGCAAATGAGAAATTAACTCATTATTTTACAAAAATACAAGAATTATAGTACAAAAATTCGACTAATGTTTAAACAAGCGCCAGAGCTCTCCTAATTGACGGATTCGAATTTTTCAAAAAGCCCTTCTATATGCGATTAAATTTTCAAGTATCTAAGTGCATTGGTTTTTGCTGTGCAAAATTTTGAAAATTTGCAAATTATTTTTCAAAATCTAGATTGCAAAATTATTATGCAAAATCTATCGAACCGATTTTGATGAAATTTGGTGTGATGATTCTACATAACATGAAGTTTTCTTGAGTCAAGTATAAAGGTACTACACCCAATTTAAATACCCCACAAAAATTCCCTAAAAAGTAATGTTTTTTAACCCCATTTTTGTCGATTTTTTCAATTTTTACAATAATAATCATGATTCATTCGATTTGTAAGGTAACTAGTTATATTTTGTAAAATGTAATTACATTTTTTTTCCTCTTCCGTTTTCGCCTAAAATCAACTCTTGAAAAGATACATAATTAGATAAGAAGAAAAATATGACATTTTTCGAATATTTTTAACATGCGCATAGAAAAAATTTAATTTCTAGTGATATTTTAAAGCCAAAAAGCCAAAAATCTCCGTGGATATACGATTCACCCAAATATGGACTCTTTGAAACAAATACCCTCTGGATTATTAGAGAATTTATCACACGCGTACGAAAAACTCCTTATCTCCAGACTCCTAATGAATTACGAGTATACTATTCAATTATAGCTTAGAAGAATGAAGAGAAATAAGTTTACTTTACTATTATTTATTTACAAGATACTTAAGAAGTACAGGACATTTAAAAACCTAGAGCAAAATATCCTTCTCATTCCATTCGGTCAAATTATCTTCCCAAGATGTTATATCGCAGTATTGATTGGCGGCTCTCGACCCCACCGCCAGCAAACTACCAATGTTAGTCATCAGATCCACCACGTAAAATTTGACCGTGTTAGCTCCTGATTCATGATCGAATAAAATAACTTCATTCCAGTACAATTTACTCTTGCCTTTCGCCAAAGAGGCGGGAATACGGCATTTATCGGCCATCGCTTTGAATAGAAGCGCCCTCTCGCAGTGATCACCTAGCCTTAAAAATCCAACAGGTATTAGGTTGCTGCCCAGCGAGTGTTTTAAAATTTCCACGTGCAGTTTCACGGTGTGTATTTTCTCTATCTTCGTATAACCTTCTGTAGGCGTCCTGAAGACTGCATCGACGTATCTGGCGAGCGTTTCAATTTTTTCTTCCATCGTGTCCACTTGGGCGAGATATTTGATAGCATTAGTGACATATCTGGGCAGAAAGGGATCTGAACATAATTTTCCGTAGTCTATTTGATAGGATTTGCGCCTCAAGTAACTCGATAGACTAGAAGAGATTTGAGTCAGCGTCGACATGGCTCTCTCTGAAGAAATTTTCCTAGGCGATATACTCGAAACGGCAGAATATTCATCTTCGTATTTTAATACAAATGAAGAGTCTACTACGTATATGGTGTTGACTGACGAAAGGGGAACCGTTTCTAAATCCTCAAAAAAAGGAAAGTCTGACATCCAGTGTCCGTGTATTAAATAGAATTTGTCTTGCAATTTATCGGTAATATCCAGTTTATTCGTATAGAAAAATTTCATGGAAAGGTGTTGATTGTAAATTAACTTCAAATTTTTATCCAAAATAGGCATTTGTAGTTTTAAAATCTCAGGGAATTCTTTCAAAATTTTAATCAGACCTTTCCGAAGAAAACCTGCCATTATGTCCTCGTGTACTAGGATTCTATGAACGAAAAGTAAAATGTTTTTTAACACCTTTATATTCTTAGACGACTGCAATACATTTACAAAGATTTTTGGGCCATTCTGTATCAGAAAAATTCGTCGAAACTCCGCGCAATCCGCCATATTGAACATTAGTTCACTTGCAAATATTGCAGTGTTTGGCAGCGCCGTCTGAAGTAGAGTTAATAATTTTTCTACGAAACTCGTACCTATAATGTCTTGTTGATACAGAGGATGCATCGATAATTTGTTTAATATTTCCATTATTCCCAAGAAACAGTCTTCACACATAAGTTTGTCGTTTTTCTTAAAAAATCCGAGCATCACCTTATGAGCTCCGAGCTTGTATATCATGTTTAATGTTTTTAAATTTCTTCTGGTGAAGGCTAAAATCGTTTTCAGTGCAGCTTCGTTGAAAGGATCTTCTTTGTCCTTTCGAAGGATACGAAACAACTCCTTCAATACGGCAGGTGTGAGCATTTCCTCACAGCAGTACTTGTGTGCTATCATGTTAGTTATAGCTTCGCACATCTTGTTCAATACCCTTTTCTCTGTGCTCCTGAAGAAGCTGAGAATCGATTGTTCCACTGATAAATCGAAGAGAATTTGCCTCTTGGAGGGCGTTCTAGTTAGTTGCTCGAGTATGGAGATGCTGGGGAAGAGGTAATCTTCTTTGCAAGTTTTAACCCACTGACAAAATTTTAAAAACTCTAAGGTTTCTACGAAGTAGTCGTTGGTTTCTTCAGATTTCATGCTGTTGATTATTATGTCGAATGCCAGTTTATGGTGTTCTTGATCAATGGGACTCATGATCACTTCAAGCATCTTTTCCACTAGTTTTCCTTCCCTAAACATCTGCTGAAAGATGTATATGCGGTGGCGGGTTAGTTCGTAAATTACTTTAAAAATTAAATTAACCATTCTTTCGTCGTTGATCTTTTCCATATGTATTAGCAACAAGGAAAGGTCAAGGCCGTACAACTGTGGTAGAACATGTAAAGCTACAGGGACTTCCAGCAACATCAAGAATAATTCTAGATTCCAGGATAGAACCTCTGGATCTTCGGTCGACAGACTGGTATCCAATACGTGGTACAATAAATCTATTTTAAATATGAGCGACAGTATTCTCTTTGATCGTACAAGCTTGGATACTACCGAAAGGCACAACTGATGAACGACATAGTCTGTATGTGATAAAAACATTTCAGATATTTGCAATATTTTGTCGTCGTATAACCCCTGCTCTATTTCCACCAAAGTATCGTCGATTGTGAGTAGAACTCCCAGCAGCCTCAACGCCAGTCGCAGGACGCAAATGTTTCTATTTAAAAGATTCAAAAGCTTTTCCAGTACGCCGTTCTTTTGGAGATAACTTAAATTTTCAACTTGGACGTCGGCAAATTTTGATAAATACCTTAAAGCATCTAAAACCACTTCATCTTCTGGACTACTCAATATCGCTATGGAAGTATCCAATTTTTTAGTGACGTAACACATTGATTTTGGGCAGGGCGCTCGCTTACTTCTCGATTTGGACATTTTGAAATTCCTCCCCGATTTCCATGAAATTCGCGTTTTTTATTTTAACTACTTAAAACGAATCATACCTCGTTGACATTGAAAGTCAAACTGACAACGTGAGGGATCTGTCAAGTGAAAAATTGTTTTTTATTATTTAGAAGGTTTGTGTATGTGTAATTTGCTAAATAGACGGTTAAACATAACTCATTTAGAAGGAAAAAAAAAGAAAATTGTTACCTGGACTTTTATAAGTGGAAATGGTAAAGGGGCTTATAATAAACGAAAAAAAAATAAATGCGTGAGCAGGGGTGGTGGAGGGTTGATTTGGGGGGTTGAAAAGTTATGTTAAATTGAATCATTGGGAGTTCTAGCGAAAGTTGACGTCAAACAAAAAAGTATCCAATAGAAAAGTTGTAGATCATGCAAAAACCTACAACTTTTGTAGAGGTCATTTTTAACATAACCTCAAAATATCCGAGAAAAATGTAAAACACTTGTTTTTTTTCTGATTTTTCGTTTTTTATTTCTCATTTCCGCAAAAATAATTTAATTTTGACGAAACTTGGTGAAAGTATACCTTTCTCTATCTTAAATAACCTCAAATTTTTTAGATAAAAAAATCAAGAGTTTCTGAGATATTAATTTTTTTCGGCCTGAAACACTTTTTTTTCAAAGAAAAATTCTACTTAAGAAAATCATCGTACGGAGTTCTGCCGGTAATCATTTTTTTTCGTTTTGACATATACTTTTTGGTGAAATAAAAAAATATGTAATCACACTTCAAAAACATGCTCAACATTACAAAAAAGTAAAAAATGACTTGCAGCAATGAATTTTTCAGTAATTGTTGATAATTTGTTTAAATTTTAAAAAAATCAAAAACTGATTACTTACGCCATTCAATTGTACGGAAAAAATACAAAAAAAACTGTCTCATTGTTTGACCCAAAACTATTTTTGTAAAGTATTGCTATAAACAAAGTCGAATAGTGAATGAATAAAATAAATAATATTTTTTTTCCGTACGATCGATTAGTGTACTTATTTTTTTAAAAGTTTGATGAATTCATAGATATACAGTGTGCCTAAGATAAGGATGGGATAGCATTAGGATCTAGGAAACGGTAAGAGATACGGGGTGGCTCAAATTAGAAAAAAGTTGTGTTTTTTTTTATACCTAACAACATGCCGTTTAGAAAGTTTTAAAATTCCAGGTAGTTCCGGAGATATCCGGAAAAACACGAAATTTTGCAAAATTGTTTAATTTTTTCTGGCTTTATTTGAAAACGAATTTTAAAATAAATTACATATTTACAATGCCACTTTTTTCGCTCTATACAATGGCGTCAACATTTTTGTAATCCGACGTTTCTTCTTCGAGGGGCCATCATCGGGTTAATTTTTTTTAATACGTCGCTGCTATTTTTATGACAAAATCTAGTCATTTTTAATTATGAATTAGAGGATATTACTATTGTAATCGCTTAAAAAGTTTTTAGCTTGTTTTCGCTATAATTTAAAATTTTTCCTGAGTACGGCTCTGAACGCTTTCAAAATATCTATTGGATGAAGCCATAACAGCATAAAAGTCAATACCGCACAAAATATCCAACTATTTTTTTACTACTATTAGCAATAATAATTAGAAATAATAAAATATTTCAAAAATTCGTATTATTTTTTTATTAGGTACAACTTTTTAAATTATGGATTAAAAAAAATTGGATATTTTGTGCTGCTTTTATTGTGCTACTTTTATTCTCTCCTCTCTATCTCTTTCTCTCTCTCTTTCTCATCCAATAGATACAGGTATTTTGAAAGCGTTCAGAGCCGTACATAGAAAAAAATTTTAATGATAGCTAAAAACCTTTTTACAATAGTAATATCATCAAATACAGAATAAAAAATGACAAGATTTTGTCTTAAAAATAGCAGCGATATATTTAAAAAAATTAATCTGATGATGACCCCTCGAAGGCAAAACGTCGGATTGCAAAAATGTTGACGCCATTGGATAGGGCGAAAAAAGTGGCAATGTAAATATGCAATTTATTTAAAATTCGTTTTCAAATAAAGCCAGGAAAAAAATAAAACGGTTTTTGCAAAATTTCGGGTTTTCGGATTTCGCGACAACAGTAGGCTTTGCAGTAAATACTTTGTATTGCTGAAATCTCAAATCATCCGGAGATAATTTATCAATTCGTGCGTTTGTAATTCGACTTAGATGTTTATAGCAATACTGTACAAAAATAAAGTTTTGGGTCAAACAATGAGGCATTGTTTTTTTTCCATAGAATTGAATGGTGTAATCAGTTTTTGAATGTCTTTTAATTTAAACAAATTATCAACCATAACTGAAAAATTCATTGTTGCAAGACATTTTTTAATTTTTTTGCATTTTTGAGCATGTTTTTGAACTGTTATTACAGATTTTTTTATTTCACCAAAAAGTATAGGTCAAAACGAAAAAAAATGATTATCGGCAGAACTCAGTACGATGATTTTTTTTTAAGTAGAATTTTTCTTTAAAAAAAAGTTTTTTAGGCCGAAAAAAATGAATATCCCAGAAATTTCTTGATTTTTTTATTTAAAAAAAAATTGAGGTTATTTAAGACAGAGAAAGGTATACTTTCACCAAGTTTCGTCAAAATTAAATTATTTTTGCGGAAATGAGTAATAAAAAACGGAAAATCAGAAAAAGCCTGTTTTTCGCATTTTTCTCGAAAATTTTGAGGTTATGTTAAAAAGTGACTTCTAAAAATGTTGTAGATTTTTGCGTGATCTACAACTTTTGTATTGGATACTTTTTTGTTTGACGACAACTTTCGCCAGAAATCCCAATGATACAATTTTCCACAACTTTTCAACCCCCCAATCAACCCTCCGCCGCCCTTGCTCACGCATTTATTTTTTTTAGGTTTATTGTAAGCCCTTTTACCATTTCCACTTATAAAAGTCCAGGTAAAAATTTTTTTTCCCCAAGTGTAATTTGGTTGGACTAAAATCAGTATTTTTATTTACTTGTGGTCATGGTGAGGTTTAACTATCTATTATTAGTTACGAATAACTCTGAGAAGTATTTTACGGTTTTATTAGTTGCTGTACAAATACTAACTACAAATAATATCTGGACAAATAACTAGTAGTTAAATCCTTGTAGCAGGTCTGATAAACTAGCCATTCCAAGCTGGTTTATTGCAATACTGATTAGCTGCTCTAGATCCCACGACTAGCAAGTCGCCAATGTTATTTATCAAGTCCACCACGTATAGCTTGAGTTTACCGTTGTTGGGTGGAGAATCGAATAAAAGAACTTCGTTCCAGTAAAAGGATTCAGTACCTTTGACTAGAGAGGCCGGGATGCAGCATTTATCGGCAATAGTTTTGAAAATGAGAGCTCTTTCACATAGGCCGCCCAACCTTAAATAACCGATGGGTATCATGTTGCTGCCTAACTTATGTTTGAGGATTTCCACGTGAAGTTTTAGATGATGTACCTTCTCCAATTTGATGTATCCCTCTACAGGCTCGCACAGCATAGCCTCGATGTACTTGGCTAGGATCTTCACTTTGTCGCGTGTAGTGGAGGCTTGTATGAGGTATTTGGAGACGTGGCAGATATACGTTGGCAGGAAGGGGTCTGGGGATAGTTGTCCGTAGTTTAAGTGGAAAGGACCGCGTCGGAAGTAACTGGAAAGGCTGGAAGAAACTCTCGATAGCGTCGATACGGTTCGTTCTGAAGAAATCTTTCCGGGCGATATACTTCCAGACCCCGAATATTCATACTCGTACTTTAAATCGTAGGAACAGTCCACAACGTATATTACATAGGCTGTAGAAATTGAAGACACCTCCAAGTCTTTGAAAAGCGGAAAGGGAGCCTGCCACTGTCCGTTGATCAAATAGAACATGTTCTGTATTTTGTCGGTAATGTCTAATCTGTGGGTTTCGAAGAATTTCAAAGGGAGGTGACGTTTGTAGATTAGAAGTAAAATTTTGGTTGCAAGCGGCATTTTTTCTTTTAAATGTGCCGGAAGGCCTTTCAAAACTTCGATCAGTTTACTTCGAAGGAAAGCTTCTACCACGTCATCGTGTACTAGACTGCTGTGGATGAATAACAAAACGGTTTTCATTAACTTGATGTCCTTGGGGTTGCGTACCTTCTCCATGAAAATACCTGGGCCATCTAGTAAGAGAAAAACACACCTCATTTCTGGAGTATGCACAAAATTGATCAGTATTTCACATGCGGAAATGGCAGCGCTCGCGGATGCTGTACGGAAAAGGTTCAATAGTTTCTCGAAAAAACTTGAAGTAACCAAGTCTTCTTGGAATTGAGGACATAACGACATTTTGTATAATATATCGAGTATCCCCAAGAAGCTTTCTTCTGATATGTAACCGATGCCTTTCTGGAAATATCGAAGCAGCACTTTATGACCTGCTGTTTTATGAATCATATCCAAGGTGTTTAAATTTAATCTGTTGAAATCTAAAACTGTTTTCAGTGCCACTTCGTTCCCAGTATCCTCCTCATCTCTCTTGGCGAGAATGTCGAAGAGTTTCTTTAATAGGGCAGGTTTGAGCATTTCCTCGCAGCAGTACGTATGTGTCGCCATGTTTGATATAGCTTCGCAAGTCTTGTTAAGGACTCTTTCGTCCTTATACTTCAAAAAACTTATAATCGATTCTTCCACGGAAAAGTCGAAAATAAGTTGCCTTCTGGAAGGAATTCTGGTTAATTTTTCAAGTACGAGGATGCAGGGCAAAACATATTTGTCCGGACAAGTCTTGACCCACTGGCAGAATTTTAAAAACTCCATGGTCTCTACGAAATAGTCCGAAGTTTCTTTAGATTTCATACTGTTAAATATTATATCGAACGCTATATCGTGATATTCTTGTTTGTTCCCGTCCGTGACAATGTCTAGCATGATTTCGATTAGTTTGACTCTCCTAAATAACCGTTGAATCATATCCAAGCAGTAGAACGTTAGTTTCTGAATTACTTGGAAAGATAAGTGAGCAATTTTCTTTTTTTCGTTATTTAAAAGCCCGACTAAAACAGAAACGTTAAAGTCGAATGACTCTGGTAGCACTACAGCAGCTAAAGCACCAACAAGTCTTAAAAGTAGTTCTAAAGTATGTTCGAGTAAATCCATATCTACGGTTTTTTCGATGATATGCAGTATGGGCGCAAATAAGTCTAGATTGAATATAAGGGTAACGATCCTGCTGGAAGCTGCTAGTTTCGCCAACATCGACACGCAACATTCTTTGACATAAGAGTCGTGATGCGAGATAAATACTTTCGATAGTTCTATAATTTTTTCGTCATACGTATTCTGGTTTAATTCCAACATTACTTCTTCAATTCCTAATAGCATTCCTAGGAATTTTAAAGTTACTCTTAAAATGTTCGCGTTTCTGTGAAGGAGATTCAGTAACTTTTGCAACAAGCCGTGTTCCTGGATATAAATCAAATTGTTCTCGTGAATGTCGGCGTATAGCGACAAATATACCAAAGCATCTAGGACTACAGAGTCTTCGGAGCTATCCAATAAGGCTATAGAAGTTTCAACTTGCTTGGTGAGGTATGTTACTCCATTCATGATGACCTTTGGCGCTTTGGACTTGGCTGATTTTGATGAGGATTGGTTCTTCATTTTCTATTCGATTTATTTAAATAAAATAAAATCTTTTCTTGTTGACAAGTATAACGACGGTAAATTGTCAAAAAAGGATGACGTTAGATATGCCAATGGCAATGGTTTTTTAAAACAAATCAAGAAGGATCATATTTTATTTATAACGAGCGTTCAAATAAAAACGTGGTCGAAGTTGGCTCTGACACATTGGACGTAGGGAGTAGCTTATAGCGACCAACTTAACCTCATTTCTCAACGAGCTGTATAGCAGCTGTCAGTTTCAATAACGTTAATGACTATATAACTTTATTTTAAAGAATAATCGTGATAACAATAACAAACAATTAAAGGAGCTGCGGAAAGTGTCCCCCTCCTTGTTATAACAATAAATTAAAGCAGCTGCTGAAAGTGTCCCCCTCCTTGTTCCAAGCACTTTTCACACCTGTTCCTCAAAGAATTAAAGACATTTTCTAAGATGCTCGGGGTATTGTTAATTTCACGAATCTTGTCTATAAGTCGAGCCTGCAGATGGTTTAAATCAGGAATAGGCAGTTCAAAAATAGTGTTTTTAAGGTAAGGCCACAAAAAGAAATCACACGGCGTAATATCACATGACCTCGGTGGAAATTCATGTTCAGCATTGAGACTTATTAGTCGATTTTGGAAAACTTCCCTCAACATATTCATCGTCTCGCCTGCCGTATGTGCCCTTGCGCCATCTTGTTGAAAGTAAAAGTTTGTAATTTCGTTTTCTTCCAGCTGGTTAACAAAAGGAGCGATAATTTCTTCTCTATACCTTTGCGCAGTAAGAGTACCATTAAAAAAAATAGGTCCATAAATCCTCCTTCGATTGAGAGCACACCAAACTCCAATTTTTTGAGCGTGTAGAGGGCCCTCGACAAAAAAGTTATCTGGTTTTTCAGAAGACCACATTCTCATATTCTGTGAGTTTACGTAACCACTTAAATGAAACCAGGCTTCATCAGAAAAAAAGGTGATATTATGAAGTTCACCGTAGTTGTTTAAAAACCATTCACAAAATACAGCCCGTCGCGGAAAATCAACTTCATGAAGTTCTTGCTGACAAGTTAAACGATAGGAGAACAAACGCAAATCTTTTTTTAACACTGTGTGGCAGGTACCGACTGATACTCCCACCATTTGTGATAAAACACGTACAGAAGTTCTTGGCGCATTTTCCATTATTTGTTGGACATTTTCTTTTAATTCTTCAGTCCGCTTTTTAGGTCGGCCGCTTCCTTCTTTTCTTGTTACACTGCCCGTTTCACGAAAAACATTAACACAACGCTGAACTGCACTTTGAAAAATTTTGTACTCAACAACGCCGGGAAATTGATTTTGAAATTCTATGAAACATTCCTCAATAGAATACTTCCATATTCCATCAATCTTGCGTCCATTTCTAAAGTAGGACTCTATGATAAACACTTTTTGTTCTTGAGAAAACACCATTTTAAACGCTTTTTAAAACGAAACTATTCAAATTGATAGCGGCGATATAGCGCTTTGACATATGACGTTTAAGTTCATTTGCTATACGCTACGCCTTACGTTCAAATTTTCAGAACCAACTTGACCACGTTTTTATTTGAACGCTCGTTATTTAAAAAAAATGGTTAATTAAAATGTATTAAAGTTAACTTGGCAACATGAAGATATTTCTGCAATGCAGACACTGTTAGTTTCAGTCTAGTTCCTTAGATGCGTCAATAAAGTGGCGTAATTTGCCGTTTTGGCAGTCGTTACTCCGCGGACGAAGCCGAAACTGCAGCTTCGCTACGTTTTCAGGCAGATATGAAAATATTTACATAAGTCAGTCGGCGGTGTCTTACGACCGTCATATGGAATAATATCGCGGAAATTAAATCCACATCGTGAAATGATATTGTTTTCTTTTTATTGTGAGTGACAGACGGTGTTGTATTACGTTTCAAATGTTATTTGTAGTGGATAACATAAAAAATTGTATAAATGGAAAAACTTCATAATTTAAAAAAATAATACCATACAAGGTAGTTTCCATTTGGATTCAACTTACAAAAAAAAATCGACCTCTTCGATTTTTTGAGACTTTAGAATGTCAATGTAGAGGGTTAATATTGGAAATCACTAAATTAAAGAAATTTTTATTTTAATGGACCACCCTATGTATTAGTTAAATTTTTCTCTTTTCAAAAATATACAGGGTAGGAAAGTACCGATGGTCTATCTGAAGTTACGTGAGAGCGATAAAGTAAGCCATAGAAATCCATGCGATTATGAAGGATGGCTATAATGAAGGCCTCTCATAGTCACCGCCCGTTTCGCCCTTCCACAAATAAGATCCACTTCTTATTTGTGGAAGGGCGAAATGGGCGTTGACTATTAGACGCCTTCATTATAGCCATCTTTCTCTATCACATGGATTTCTATGGCTTACTTTATCGCTCTTACGTAACTTCTGATAGACCATCGGTACTTTCCTACACTGTATAATATGTTACTGTTTGATTCATGACTTTTCGACATATTTCAGAAAAAGGATTTTTTGGAAAAACAGGAGGGAAATTTATGTCTGACGGATCGCAGTGGACATGGACGAGGCACGAGGAACAATCAAATGACTTTGACATTTTAACAAAGAAATAACGTTTAGTGAGAACGAAAAATGGTCACGGATGCTCAATGTGACCGCCATTATTATTGATGCACTTCGTATATTCCTAATTAATTTTCAGAACGGCATTTGGTATGAAATGGGAATTAGATTGACTTAAATTTTCTATACATTGATCAAATTTATGTCTCAGTTCATCTAAGTTTACACTAGTTTTCTTATAAACCCCGTTTTTTAAGTAACTCTACAGAAAACTGTCCAAGGGTGTAAGGTCTGGGCTATTTGAAGGCCATTGAATATTTCCTCCATTACCAATTCACAAATCAAACCTATTATTTAAATAATTTCGTACTGTTACGGTTCTATGCGGAGGCGCTCCGTCTTGGTGCCAAATTGAATTGGTATAGTCGATCAGGGGCAGGTCTTCCAATTTGTTTTCTATTTGATTTTCAAGAAAATTCCCCAGTCGAGGCACCTGCATTAAATAGTGGGCCAATGATTTTATTTCTCAGTTAGTCTTTCATAATTTGCCAAGCAGTAAACATCGTCGAGTTGTGCCTAAAATGAACAAAAGAAAATCAAATTAAGTAAACAAATTGTGAATTTGCGATTATGAAACCAGCATTACTTTGCAACGAAATGTGAGTTTTATACACTTAAAATTGGCAAATTAAAAATACATTTGAAACGAATTAGTAACAAATTTCAATTAAATAAAAATTAAATTAACTTTTCACAATTCAAAGAAGTCGACTATAAATCAAAATTATCATATTATAATAGCAAATATAAAGGGGAAGTTTATAGTTTTTAAATATAACATGGTATAAGTCAATAGACTTGTTAAATTGTTGAAATATTTAAAAAAACTGTACCTAATATGTAAATTCTTTATCAAAAGCTAAATTGGATTTTTCGTTTTCTTACAGTTTCAGTAGGTATATAAAAAAAAATACATAATTAAAGGAAACCACCTATGATGAGGAGTTAGCTCTGAATATAATTGACTTTAAAAGACAAGTCTTGTTGGCGCCCATGTAAGTAATATTCAATAAAAAAACACAATTGAATAAAACAACAACACATAATAAAAACATAACAATATTTTGTTATACAAAAAGGACAAAATAATAGCATATTATCACGACACGAACATTTATTGGGAACTTAATTTTCTTGTGTAGAACCTATTAGTTCAAATACATCAAGTGGTTTGTTAGCTGATATATTCATTTATTATAATGTTGTAAATGAAGTTACAAAAAAAATGTTTCGTATAAAAGTTACTAGTTTTTTTTCCTCCTTATAAAGTTTCGGGAAAAAAGAATATAGCTTCCCATTTGAAAATCCAAAATCCGCTATAACCTTGAAAACATGGTCAAGGTCAAAAAAACTGCAACGCCATTTTATTTGCCCCCGACACTGACTAATTTTTATTTGACACATTTTTTTCATAGAATGCACCGTTTTCGAAATATGGCCCACCCAACAAGGTGAACGATTTCATCAGGATATGAAGGTTATAGAACAGCGATATTAAGGAAGATGGGATGAAAACATGATGGCCGATTTTTGTTGGTTGTTAAAAAGAGAAACGAAAAATAGAGGGACTAAATGAAAGCGTAACTCTTTGTATAGATCATTTGAAAAAAAAGAATACGTTATAATAACAAAAATAAGAATGATTTGTAGATATCGTTTTCTTTTGTTTAGAAAGTAGAGTATTCTCACAGACAATATAGCGTATCGCTTCAGACTGCTACTTAAATGCTGGAAATTGGCAACCCGAAATGGAAGCAGGGTCTCCTTAGCCGGCTTCCAGCTATAAAATTTTGCGTGGTAACTCTTCTACTTGGTAATAGGCGGCAGTTCCAGCGGTGGCTTTGTTGCCAAATAATAACTGCTAAATAAATTTAATGCTTTCAATTATGTAATTAAAGAGATAAGGAACTTATCTTGTGTTTGTAAATCACATTTGCCTTAAATGTTAAATAAAATAAATCAAGTTAGAATTAAAACTATGAATTTACCTAATTAATTATTTATTTTATATCACCTTGGAACGGGAAAATTCAAAAAATCGAAATTAATGTTTTTAGATTTGTGCGTCGACTTCCAATAGGGTACGATATTAACTATGTTTAAAAAATTGCATTATACAGGTTGTGTATCCTTAGATGGGCACTGCCTCTTATTGTTGATTTCTTTAGATAGGTAAAATAATTATTGACACAAGTGTTGCATACCATGGATGTCATTGGTAGTGTTCATATTTGTGACACAAGGTGTTCAAAAAAATTAACACAATGTAAAATTGTTGGAACCTCAAGGAGTAGTTGAATACGAAATTTATTTAAAAAAAAANTATCACCTTGGAATGGGAAAATTCAAAAACTCGAAA